CACTTTGTACCTACCAAATCCTGATAAAAACTTCCGGCTGTACTAGCCAGGATGGCGTGGCCTGACGTGAGCGAGTTAAAATTTTCGTGGATAAGGGAAACGACTAGAGTTACGCTTCTGGTATAACTTCCTATTCTGTGATTTCACTACACTTTACATGGCGGATTAAAGCCTCTGGCTCTGCGGAGGAGAGAGGACCTTTCCCCTAATGAGTGAAATTTTGATCTAGACAAAAATTTCGTTGCAAAATGTTGTAAAATGAGGATAATTATAGCCATGCGAAGTTTTTCGTTTTTCAATCATTTTGTATTACAAATGCATAGGAAATTGATAATCAGTTTGATCATCTGATTATCAATTTGGCTATATTATTCGCATTTTAGAACATTTCGCAACGAAACTTCGGTGAATATTACTAATTTTGTGATGCTCTTTCAAACTGTGATTTCAATTTTTGTCCAGACTTGTCTAGATCAAAATTTCATTCAAAAGGGGGACTATTGCCATTCCTTTTGAACTTTTCTGCCTTCTTTTCTTTCAGAAATAAACCATTTATGCATGTTTATGTCAAGCTCCTGATTCTGAAAAAGGATCTAGTAGCTATAAATGACGTATCTGGATTGATTGGAATCAGACTTGAATTCACAATCCTCAAGTTGCTTGCATGAAGATTCTACAAGCCGTCTCCTGTTTCATGCATAGTCATATAAAACTATAGTAGTTCCAGAATTAGGCTTTATAGCTCTAGTGTCCCCCTGTTCCACTCGACTGTGCATTAATATGAATTCAGTCAATGACTTGGGTTGCTAGAACATAAACCTATAACTTGAAAAAGCAAAGTTATACAAGAAACTTTAATATATTAAAATTGAAGGCCAATGACTGTGATATCAAACAGTAAGAAACTATTTGTTACAAAACAATCATTCTAACTTAGTTTTGTGCTTTTTTGTTGAAAATAACACGAAAATGCTTGTAGATAAATAATGATTAATGGCTCAATATTTTCCATACTGTTAAAGTGTTATCTGAGCTA